GTAGTTTTGAAACAAAAGAGTTTCTTCGTGAATGTCAAAGATACTCATTATACTGTCATAAAGAACTCTAACGTTGACTTCTTCAGTATTGCTATGAATCTTTCCGAACAGAAAGAATATAAGAAGGGTGAAACATCTGTGAAATATTATCCTTCATCTCTGAAGACAATAACGAACAAAGATGTTATACAGAAATTCTTACCAAAGGTTGAAGAAGCTTCTATTGACATTGACGAAGGAAGTGAAATGGTTGAAGAAATAGACCCTGAAGCTATTTAAGCAAAAATATATTTTTGAAGAACTGAAAGTGTCACTACGTCACCATGTCACCAGGTTAATTAACTTCTTTTAAAAAGTGTGACAACATGACATTTTGACAACAGGTACGAAAGAGCGAACAGCATGATGCTTCGTTAATGTTATTGTTAATGCTTACAGTGTCGAACATAATTGACGTAGGATTCATGACTTCTTCGTAAATGAGTGTAAATATAGCACAAAAATATATTTTAGGTGAAGAGGTGAGATCTCACCCGTTTTTTCACCTCTTTTTTCACCTCATTCTCTCTTCGTTAATATTGTCGTGACTTCATCGTTAATGTTGTCGTGACTTCATTCTTCCTCTTTGAAGTTGTCGAAATATTCTGTTATTTTTTCCTTCAGTAATGGTAAGTCTTCTTTGAATGTAAGTATTGTGCAACCTTTGATGTCATAGTGTGTTTGAGGAAGAGTATTTTTGACAATTTCCTTTATTTGTTCATTCGGAGTCATTGAAATCGGTAAGTTTTCACGATAGAACCAGTTTCTGTCAGATTATATATTTTAGCTAAGTCATAAAAGCTCTTGTTGTTTCTTCTGACTAAATGCAACATAACCATATCTTTATCTTCTTCTTTCTCCAACTCTTCAGTATAAATCATATACTTATAACTCTTTTCCTTTCCTTTTGGTACTGAACGTGGTATTCTTTTCTGTATGCTTTTGTCTTTGGATTCAATGACTTCATCTTTTGCATGAAGTTTCTTTTCCATCTCTCCACGTTCTGCTTTATATAGTTCATCTAACATCATGAAAATATAACAAGCATAACGAGGTGAAGCCCACATTGCTACAGCGTTTACTAAAAGTCTATGAACATAATAACCTTTCAAACCAGAGCTAAATTCTTGCGATTTTCGTACGGAATCTCTTCTCTCGGTTTTCCGAGGGAAGCAATCATATGAGGAAATTCTTCTAAAAGTTCTTTTGTCTGTTATGTTTTCAAACCAAATGATATGCTTGCTTTGTAGAACGAAGAGCATTCATTATACTTTGCATTTGGTACATGTCATCTTTGACTGAACGAATGAGACGTAACTGTTTGTTATACTGTATGTACTCGTATTCTTCATGATGGCTTCATGAACGATAGCAGTTGTTGTGTTCTGATGTTGACATTACTGTCTTTACATACAAGATAAAAAATTTGTTAGAAAAAAAATTAGCGTTATTTTCTGACTTTCACAAAAAGACCAAAAATAAACGCTTTACATGTATTTTTCAGCAACTTCGTCAAATAATTTTATATGCTTTATCTATCTCATCTACTTCAAACGTTTCTTTACCTTTCGTGGGAGCACCATACATTTCTCAAAAACTTCAAGCAGTTCTGTTTCAGCAGCTCTCATATCATTAACAAAACACAACCTTGACTCTATTGACTGTAGAGTCATCTCTTTGAGTTATATTATATGTCCTTCTATCTTATATCTTTTTGTGTTGAAGTCCTTCGGTTTCTGAACGATATAAAGTAAGCCTTCACTGCAACGTTCTGAGTCGAATGAACCATATGTTTATGGTTATATCCAACAACTGGGTCTAACCATACAAAACTATTGGTATAAGACTTTTGTCTATAAATATGCTCTTGTTCCATGAAATGCTACTGATATCATAAGCTCAGGATTTCTTGTCAAAATTTTCTGAGTTGAAGCATTTCTAACCCAGTCGTTTGTTTTCTTTTCAGATGGAGATATAATGTCTGACAAAGAATATTTGTTGTATTTCTTTGAGTATCTTACGTTTAAATCACCAATTCTAACCACTTTGGTGTCATTGTCTATCTTTCTAACTGTTTCAAACTCAATGTTTGACATTACTGTCTTTACATACAAAATAAAAATTTTTCTTAGAAAAAAAATTAGCGTTATTTTTCTAACTAATGAAATTCATGAAATTTGGTCATTTTTCAGCAAAAATAATGTTTAGGTGAAGAGGTGAGATCTCACCTGTTTTTTCACCTCTTTTTTCACAAGCGTTTTACATGAATTGTACGATGTATATTTGAAATCCTAAACAATTTGGTAGCTTCAATTTCTTCTTTTAGTACATCGAATGTTTTAATCGTGCCGAAAGTCTCTTTATATTTCTTCTTGACGTCAGACAGAAGGAAATCTTCTGCTGTTGGATAGTTTTTATTAAGAAATGTCAACATATCCATTTTATCTTCTGCTGGCTTTTCTGCTTCTTTCTTTAAGTCTGCATAGTCTCTTCGCATTCTTTCTATCTCTTTGACTGAGTAGTTATATTTTCTTATTGCTGCTTTACATTTTGAACATTGCGGCATCGTTTTTGCGTTATACATTGAACATTACCAGCTAAACAACTAAAGCGTCAATTGCTCTCTTCATCTCAAACATAGCGGGTCTTATTTGTTCGTTCCATACTTTGTCTCTTCTATCTTTATCTCTTATTTCCCATACACATTCAGCAACTAACGAAACAAAGTTATCGTATGTCTTAAATTCTTCGGATTTATATATGTCAGAAATATTTTTATAAACCATGTCGCAATCTTTGTCCATAACTTTATGGTTGCAATGAAAACCAAGGAATTCATAATTTACTTTTACGTATGAATTTCTTTATTTCTACTGAGTCAGTTGCTTTGACTTCAATTTCGTCGAATTCAGGAATAGTTAGTTTTTGCTGCTGAACTTCAGGTAGTTTAGGCAAATGGTCAATAATATCCTGCATGTCATAAAGATACTGTTCATATTGTTTCATCTTTCGCACTACAGTCTAAATTACTTGTTAAAAGTTCTTCTTTATCTTCTGGATTTCTGTTTCAAAAGTATATGAAGAAGGAATAAAGTTTTTCATCTATCAACATTGACGTAGGATTCATGACTAACGAGTTTGGTGCTGTAGTTTGAATTGTTGTTGTACCGATTGTTGAAATCATATCTTTTATACAAAATAAAAAGAATAAATAAAAATAAAACTAACTTTATTTTTTCTATCTTAAGGAAATTCATGAAAATTCGTGAGGGTGAAAAAAGAGGTGAAAAAACGGGTGAGATCTCACCTCTTCACCTAAACATTATTTTTGTCTGATTTACATCTAATGAAAAAGTTTAGAAGAATTTTCTTATTCTTTCTGGCTTATTTTTATCCTTCCAGTACTCCCACTCTAATGGTCCCAGATGTGTTGGCTTTGACTCTCTCAAGTTCTTAGATGGTATAACATCTTCAACACCTCCTTCATATCTTACTTTATAAGTGTCATCGTTTATGTTATAGCCAAGTATTTCAATAACCACTCCTCGCTTTGCTTCGTCAATGGTTTCAGCAAGTTTGCCATTACTACTTTCAACTAATTTATGACGAGGATAAAACGCAATAGAGTCGTCGGCAGCTTTTATAAGATATCCATTACCTTGCGTAGAGTCTACGATATAATAGTTTCTACTTAACCTTAAACGTTTTTTGTCAACGGTTTGTCGTCAAAGAACTACACGAACTTTTGTACCAGGAATGGAGGGTAAATTGTGTTGAATTTCTGATATTTTGTGTTTGACTTCGTTTCTTTTGTATATACTTTTTCTTCTTGTTGTTGTGTCATTGAATTGGTGTATTCCTGTTGTAGAATGTGTTGAGGAATTATATACTTCGAGAAAATGTTTCATTGTTTCTTCGGTAAAGTCTCGCTCTTGATTAAATCTCTGAGAGTCCTTATGAAGCGGTTTATGATGCCGAGTATGTTTATGGTTATGGTCTTCAGTAGTGTAGTGAGTTATGTTATGCCTTAATGAGAAAATCTGTGATTTCATTGCTGAGGTATGCACTGTCTTGGTCTGATGTTAAAGTACTTGAGCTATGTTCTGCTACAAACTTTTGTAAAACTCTTAACACTTCACAAGTTCCTTTATTCCTCATTGGATATGCATATGCTTTGCGAGTGTTAACATTAATGAATGAGGAATGGTGGCTTTCTTCCTTTTCTGCTTTGAACGAGAGTGTCAAATTGGTATGCGTCAGGATGTTGGAGTAAATTGGTAAAAAGTAGTCGTAAGGGTTTATTTTTGTTTGAATGTACAACATTTTGTCAAAGAACCTTTTCACTTCAGCTCTGTTAGTAAATCCCCAACTCTGTGCAGCTTCATTGAATTTCTTAATGACCTCCACGGTGATGATTCGAATACTTCTTTCAAGCTCATTTATGTAAAGTTAAAGATTTTATTCTAGGCTCAAGCGCGTTCATTGAACGCGGTACCATGCGAATACAGTCATAAATGGTGGCATATAATCTGCACCCGAGCCTGTTGGATTTGTTGTGAAAGTATGTGTATGATTTCCTCCTGGTTCAGTTTGTCGAAAAATCTTTTTTGCTGCATTGTTATATAGATGGAGATAAAAACATCATTGCCACTTCATACTCTGAGTTGTATAATGGGTGGTATCTTAATGAGTGGCTATGGTCGCCAGAAAAGTTTGTAGTTCCTGTATGAGTGTGCGGTGGAAGGTTTGCTTCTTTAATTTTCTTCGAAACCACCGGCTTGTTTTGAATATCTAGCACAGTATAAGAATTTATCTACAATCTGCTTCCATGAACCACAAACAGAACTGTTGCTGGATTTGTTGAGTTCATTGATGTATAAATAGAGCCTATAGGATATAATGTTTGAAGTATTTCAGTCTTTAATGTTTTGAAGCTCTGTTTTGTCTGCTTTCTTATCATATAAATCTTGAGCAGTGAATTTAATATTATTTTCATCCTTCATGACATAAACATTTTTACATCTAATGTTTTTCTTTGTTGTTATGTTTTCATTCGATGTTAAACCTTGTGGAAAGTTAGGAGGTTTACAATATAATGCATCCCCATCAGTTCCGTCAACCGTTCCTTCAATACTTTCTATAGCAACAGTTGAGAAGGATTCATGTGTATGTTCTTTATCTGCTTTCTTATCTAACATTGCTGGTAGTTCATGTGTTTCAAAGTTTCTGGTATGACCTTCAATGTTCATACATCTGTTATTTAAGGAGTTTAGTGTATCTTTTACGCTTGTACTTGGATTCTCTAAAGGTGCACTTGAACCAAGGGTATAGTTCAATATTATGTCGTCTGCTCTAACAGTAGTGAAGGATTCATGTGTATGGTTCTTTTCAGCTTTACTATTTAATGTAGCTTGAAGTTCATTTATATCGGAGATATTGTGTTTATGAGATTTCAAAACTTTGTTCATTGCGTCAAGTTCATCTTTGCTGGCTTTACTTTTAATAGCATCTTCAAAAGTTATTTTTGCCTTAACTCTCAACATAAATCTTGGTTCAACTAATACACCGTTAACAAAGAAGTATGAAGCATAAATTTCATTGTTATAACCAAATGCTTCTGGTGCTTTACCTGTGTCATACTGTACAGTACAGTGTATGTCATAACCTTTAGCACGAATGAATTTATATCTTCTTTCATTAACATCTTCCGTCTTCACTTTTTCATCCTGTGTTAAATATCCATGGTAGTCCGTTATAATCTGTTCGTCTGAAGTTATATAATGAACATGGTTTTTATCTGCTTTTTCGGCTAATTTCTCTTCTATCTCATTTATTTCAAGTTCATGCCTACCACCACCTCCCGAAGAAGTATTTTTCTTCAGCTCTTGAAGAACGTCCACTTCGCCATCTTTGGTGTCAATAATGAGACTTTGAGTTAAAACCTTTCCTGTCTTAATGGATGTTTGTAAAACTTCTTCTTCACCGTGTTCGGGGTCATGGTCGTCATCATATCTTGTGAAATCAGAGATGTTGTCATACTTAAGCATATCTGTCTCAAAAGTTCTGCTATTTGAAACTGGAACGAAAGATATACAGAACTTTCATCATCTCCTAAAGTCAAGTCTGCTTTCTTAAGTATTTCTTGAATGTATGCAATGAGAACAGAGTACCTTGGAAAATATTCGAACAATATTTCATTAGCTGTTGGTTTTGGTGGTTCTTCTGGAGTTTCTGTTGTTTCAGTTCCTTCTGTAGGTTCTGTTGGAGTTTCTGCATCTCTTGACTTCAATGCTCTTGCTCTCAAAGACCTAAATGTAGAGCACCAGGTTTTACAAAGGACTTTATAAATGCTTTAATAGTTCCTGGTAAGTTATTGTTAGCATTAAGTAAGTTCCTTATGCTTCCATCATGTACGTCCATAGCACTATGTAAAAAATCTATACTTTTCTTGTAGTCAGCAATAGACTGACTGTGATTTTTTAAAGATTTGTCAATACCTTTAAGCCAATCTTCATGCATGTCTGATTGAGCCAAGAATATCATTTGCTTCCTTTAGTGTATTTTGTGCTTCTCGTAAAGTATCCAATCCCGTACGTGCATTGTTTGCTATACGTCTTACAGTATCTATTTGACTCCTTGTTTCTTGCATCCAACCAGATAAAGTTTTAATAGTATCCGAACCATTTGAAATGAAGTTCAAAGCATTTTTAACGTCATTTAAAACTTCTTCACCAAGTACCGCCCATATCTTTCCGATTTGGTATTGAAGAACTCCATATGAAGCAGCTGTTAAACCAGTATTTATAAGGTTCCATATCCATGATTTAGCAGTTTTTCCATCCTTTCCATCTTCACCATCCAAACCGTTTTCGCCTGAGGTCCTTGTATTCCTTGTATTCCTTGTGGTCCTTGAGGTCCGGTGTCACCCTTCTCTCCTTTCAGTTCATCTTTATGTTCGTTATAATATTCTAATGTCATAAGGTGTACATCATTACTGTTACCAGCAACGCCGAGAATTTGTTTCTCATTCATGACTAAATTCTTTAGGCATTTAATGTTGTCGTCAAATCGAAAGCTCTTTAACAATTCAATGAGAACATTTAATACTTTCACGAATGAGGCATCTACTGTAGAATTTATATATTGCACCGTTCCATCATTTATGATGGGAACTTTACTTATTGTAATGAATGGGTCATACGTGTTAAAAGTATCGAAATCAATGACTTTTTTAGTTTTTCCATCGTCAATGACTAAATCATTGCCTTCAATGGTTAAAGTTGAGTTTTCGTTTACTAGTTCATGTGCTCTTCTTGCTTCATTTGTTTCATACGCATATGCAGCAATAGTCATATTTTAATGAGAATAAAATGTTGTTCTATTTGCAAAGTACAGACCCAAACGAATACGGGACAGTAAAGTTACAAACAAACTTAGGTCTTCAGAATGAAGCGCTTGCTTTCAGAGTTGTTGACTTCAATACTATCGCAACTTTTGTCATAACAGATGAAACAGATTTCATAGAGATTGAAATAGATGACAAAAGAAGTGTTATAACATTTCCTAACAGAGCAGAGTATAGAATAGATAAAATTGCTGGAGTCATAGATACTCTCATAAATGAAGAAACTATTGACAACATAGATGTCGAACTCTCTTCTGAGGGAACATTGAAGTTCAGTAGCAAGAAGGAGTTTAAGATAACACGAATGAGTCATAGAGTACAACTTCTTTTGGGTGCATACCATATGACATTTCCTTTAAAAAGCGTTGACAAAACGATTGAGATGAAATTTGTTCCATACGTATGTTATGGTAATTGTTTATACATTGAGTCTAAAATAGCTAATGTCACAGGCATTTCAGGAGTTAATAGTAAAGGTTCAGTAGAGTATAAATCTTTCTGTTATGAAGTAAATTCAATGTTCATTCCAAACGTTCCTGTCATAGCAACTCATTTAGGTAAATGGGTTCGCATTAGTCCTCATAATTTGAAAGACATGCAATTCAGACTTGTTGACTTTCAAGGAGAGCCTGTAGAACTGAAGGCACCAGTGCGAATGACTGTTGAAGTTGACTTTTTAGAAAATATTAAATGCAACAGCTTACAAGAGAACTCAGAGCTAAAAATATAAAGTATGAATGTTATGTATTAGGTCATGAACTTTGGTTGTTGCTGTTTGATGAAACAAATGAGTTAGTTATGTCAGTCAAGAGAACAGAAAAATATTGTGTTAGTGAAAACTGCACCAAGTCAATAAGATTAGGTTTGCATTATGAAGATGAGTTCGATACTGTTGAAGAAGTTTTGGATAGATATTACAAATTGCTAACTTGAAATTTTTTTGACTGACGGCGCAAAGCGCCAAGATGGGCTCAAAGAGCCCTCCTGACTGCTTTAATTTACTAAAACATATTTCAAACAAAGTTTATATTCTGTTGAAAGTTTTGTATACTCGTTCGAATATCTATACTTAAACTCAACTCCTGTAGTTCCTTGTGTTTCAATGATGCGGATGTTACCTATTTTCATGAATAGTGGAGTTTGACCACAGCATTCGATTTCAGGGTCGAGATAGTCAATGACACATTGCTTTCCTGTTATTCGTGATATAACATTTTCAAGGTCCTCCTTTGTTAGAATTATTTGGTTCTTACTTATAAGATTTGTCAAAAGCTTCTTATCGTCTTTGAGTAAAATTGTTTGGTATAACTGAAGAAGGTAATGGTCTACGTTATCTGAAGGATTTGTTTGGACATTTGTGTAAGGGTTGTCGTTGGCTTCTCTTGAAAGAATTTGGTCCAGTGGTGGATACTCTAACTTAACATCTGATGTAGCGTTAGCGTTTGAAGCTGTGTTTAAATTCACCGACTTAAGTTCTGGTTCTTTTTCTTTCAAACACTCTGAACTATAGTTCTTTATGACAATATTGTTTGTCGTTCGTGAGTCAACATTTGATGTTGGTTCAATTGGAACATTAACGGCACCAGCTAAGATGGATTTGCTTCTCATTTCATATAGAATAAAAACCTTTTATATGTATGAAATGAACAATATACTCGACAAGGGTTTGAATGTAAAGCTAACGAATGAAAATATTGTTGAATTCACTGAGACAGGTGCTGTGTATAAAGATGTAGAACTACTGAACAAAAGAGCTAAGGGAAGAAGCAGGAACATGAACAAAGGGTAGAAGCCTATAAAAATTTATGTCAATGATGGCTCAGGAGGTTCAAACATAAAGTATGCAGAAAGTTATAGAGTTTATGCTCTCAAAGGTGAAAAGCCTTCATTTAAGAACAGCTATTCTAACGCATATCCTCAAAAGCTAACGGATGGGGAAGTGGATGATATGAATGACAGCAAAAATATTAACAGAAATGGCGACAGAGATGCATGGAATTTGTTTACCATCAGTCAATTGAAAGTTAAACTTTAAAACAATGTTGGTCGTTCCCATGGAATATTTTTGACTTTAATGGTATTAGTCATGATATGAATCTCAAGGTATGAACGAGGAGAGATGAGAGACTTATATGCTTCCCAAATTTCTTCAAAAGGTAATGTTATACCTGACTGTTTCCAAATGAGTTCAATATCATAGCGTGAGAAACCTTGAAAGATAACGAAGTCAGTTATGAGACGTTTTATGTTTAAAGCTAAAAACCTCCATGTTTGCATAAGTATTGCTACAGTTAAATGGTAATGTCTGACTTTAGTTATGATGTTAGCTAATGGTGAGTCTGGTTTTGACACTAAACCTTTTCCGGCGAAGTCGTCACAAACGAGCAGAGTGTTTGAAGGATATTTTTTGAAGGGGTATTTTGAAAGTTTTGATAGAATGTAGTTTGTAAGTCGTTTCATATCGTATACTCCTGAGTATTGACGTAAGTGGTGTTTGTCAATAATTCTTTCCATCTCCTCAGAAGTCTTTTGCATTCCTGACTGTATAAATTCAACGATGGCATAATATTTCCTCTTACGTCGAATGTAACGTTGAAGAAATTCAATGAGTTCACTGTCTGGAACTTTAACGACAGAGGCTTGAACTTTTGATATAAATGTTTTCGCTGTTGAGTCCATAGAGTCTGAAGTTGCTGATATAATGATTTGGTCATAGTAAGAGTCGTTTCCTAAACGCTCTGTTATGAGTATATGACGAATGAGGTTGAATGTCTTTCCTGACCCCATCTTTCCACAATAGAAATAAACGCCATTTGAACAGAACTCATAGTCCTTACTGAAAGGAAGAATAAGAGAAGAGTTAAGTTTGTCTGTAGTTTCATTCATGTCTTCATCTACGTCATGTATTAAATGCTTCATTTTATCTCCATTAAAAATGCAAGTCAGAAATATTCAGAACATAGCACCGAGTCTAACTGACAAGAGTATAAAGATATACTATGAACATGTTATGATGAAACCAACCAAAATTCAAGAAAGTCAGTATACTTATGAATATCCAAGACACTGGGTAGAGTATGTAGGAGGTGAGAAAGCTATTGAAATAAGACAGGTTCGAAGTATTCCAGCAGGAAGAACAATATTATTGAAGAACTTTAATGTTTTGAGGTATAATGATGAAACAAAGAAGCAAGATAGTTTTCCTGTTGCTGTGTATGTGAACTTAGATACAGGAGATGACATGAAAGTTTTTAATACAAAGCTTCAAACGGTAGTGAGAGAACAACTGACTGCGGAAGGACATCCATTACCTTCAGAAGTTACCATAGCATATAATTTTGAAACAAACTCAATAGATTTTAAAGTCGTCTCTGCAAAGAAGTCAGGTTTTACATTTAATGAAGCAGATGTATATTCGAATGAAAACTTCAAAGCTATTGCATGGTTAGATAATGACGATTGCTTTAAGAAAATCTTTAAATTCAGTGACTCAACGATGTCAATAGATGACCTTCGTGGAATGTTACCATCGACGTTTACAGTAGAAGGTTCAGCAGGATTGCTTACAAGATTGTCAATTGGTGGTATTTGGTCTCGTGAGAACATTGTTATAAAATCCAGTATAAGTGAATTTGCTGAAGAATCTATATTATGTCTTTCAAACTATATGTATTCGCCGCCAAAGCATTATAGTATAACAAACTTTGTCAGTAAGTTTAACATAAGACTTGTCGAACCTTCTTCAATGAAAGATGTTGTGCTACATAAAGACGGAAAGGATGGACTCATTATTGAGATGATTTTAATAGCATATTAAATGAGTTTGTTCTTGAAGGTCATTCATGATGAAATAACCGTTGTAGAAGATGTTAGCAATTGTTCAGACATTTTGAAGCGTATAAATGATATAAGAAATAAGTTAGATAGACCGCAAAGCGGTGAGGGCGAAGCCCGTGAGAATGTTTATGTTTCATTGACTTTCTCCAGTAACGAGAACTTTTATGAGATAATATTGAAGAGAGATGATTTTAATATGGTGTAAATGGTAGCTTGGGCAGCTTTAGGCGCAATGGGAACAAAAGCATTAGCATTTGGAGCAAAAGCACTTGGAGCTTATGACGCAGTAAATAAAATGAGTGGAGGAAGGGTTTCGAAGACATTAGATGCAAATAAAGGGAAGATTGGAGGCTGGGTTGCAAAGAAGTTAAGATTAAATAAAATAGGGCTCATAAATAAAGCATCCAATTTGGTTGCGACTGAGTCAGAAAATGCTTTAGGAAAGGACGATGAGTTTGCAAAACACGCAAAAGACTTTAATGACCAGATGAAAGGTGAAACAATGCATTTAAATAGAGTCGATGGAACTAAAGAAAATGTTTCTTCTCCACTAGCGGTTTATCCATACGGGCCTTATGGAATGTATGGAAACCCTTATGAACGACCATTTGACCCATTGACTGGTGGAAGTAATTGGTATCATTATGGACGAAGAAGAAAGACAGTCAAGTTGGAGACAGATGTGAAGAAAGCAACTAAAAAGAAACCAAGGAAGAGAGTTATAAAGCAATGAATTCAACAGGGTGAAAAAACAGGTGAAAAAAGAGGTGAGATCTCACCACTTCACCTAAATTTATTTTTGTGCTATGTTTTCATACGTGTGAGGGTGGTGATATCATTAATTTTTAAGTTTATTTTTTTATTTTACTGAAAATTTTTATTTGGATGTAAATGACAGAACAAAAGCAACTCATTCGAATTCCACAGTATAACAAACATACATTTAAACATTTATTCTTCCTTCCTGAGCATAACATGTTCTTTCAAATACATCCGAGACCAGTTGACTTTTCATTGACTGTGTATAAAGATAGAAATAGTTATATCATTAAACCATACGATGACGAAGGTAAGTTATGTAAATTGTACGTTAAGAAGTTAGAGAAAGTTTATGGCTTCAAGTATGACTACAATAGGGTTAACACTGATGATGAAGATATTGAGGAAAATTTATGAGAACATTAGTGAAGTCGTTAGTGAGAACGATAGTGAGAACGTTTATTTTTTACATTAGTGAGTTCGTTAGTGAAGTCATTTATGTGTCAGATGGTTTTGTAAATATTTAAGGTTAAGTTGGTGTTATGGTTGTGTTGTAAAATTTACGTTAACGGTTTCGTAAATATTTAAGGTTAACTTGTGTAAGGTGGAACGCAGTGCCGCCGTACCCAACTTAACCATACTAACTAATGACACTCAAATTGCTTATGAATTCGACATGGGGATATTCCATTAAGAAACCTCAAGAGATGAAGAGTAAACATTATAAGAAGGTCGACAACTTTGTTGAAAGGTTTTCTCCTTTTGTTTTGAAGTACGAATTCACTCAAGGTCAAAGTGGCTTAGTAACCACATTAAAACCTATTGTCGAACATTGGTCTTACCCTCAGTTCGCAAAGGCAGTCCTTGACAACTACAACAAATTCTTCTCCGAAGTCAAATCCAAAGTGAAGGTTTACTATGAGAACATTGACGCACTCATGACGAACGAAGAAGGCTATAACAAACTCATTGAAATGGGTATGGTCGGTGAAAAGATGGGTCGATTCAAATTGGACAAAATTTTCACCGAAATTCATGTCCTCTCCAAGCGTAAGTACTGGGGCATACTTGAAGACGGCCCAGAAATAAAACATTGCATGAAATAAAAAATTTATTTTTAAAAAAGTGACATTTTTTTTATTTTATTTGAAATGTACGCTGAGTTTGCTTATGTAAACACTAGAGATACAGATGGAGAATACGTTCAAATACTTCTTAACAAATTCAAGAAGCTATATGGCATACCATTTTAAAACAATATATTTTTACATATATTAAATGCTTCAGGTTGAAAAACAAAGAACAAAAGTAGCAGATACAAAACCGTTAGACTATATCTTTACAAATGCTGGTAGGACTATTTCAGATGAAGAAATTTCATCCCGAGCATACAGGTTTGACTATCCAATTCGTTGGCTTCAAGTCCTTCAGATGCAAAGACAATAGGATTTAGAAGAGTTTTGTTTTCAAATAGAACTAACGCATTTATGTTCGCAGTATATTTTCATGGGCAGTATAAAGGTTCTGATGGTCTAATAGACAAATTTGACGAAATGAGAATCTTTACAGTTCGTTCAGACGAAAGTCTTGAGAAAACTCTAAATGACTTTCAAACTCAAATGAACAAATATTATTGGGAATTTCAAAAAATACGACTCTTTACTAAATGGAACATACTATCTGAAACTAGAATATGACAAGATGAACTCCACCGTTTCATTTCAAAAGATTGAAATTAACCCTCCAAGAGATACAGAGTTTTTTTTTTGGGAAGTAGACAAACGTTCTTGGGCACAATTTCTTCGGTTACTAAACCAGAACGAACCATTACCACCAGATGGTCCATTTAAATTTATACTTCCACCAGCAGATTTGATGGTTTATAGAAACGTGTTTGACCCTCAAAATGTTATGTGTCATGCAAGTTTTCAGTTCAAGCAACAATAGTTTTCTATGTATTGGTAAGGACTTTTATGACTTTGCTTCTAAATTCTACGAACCATCTAGTAACAGTTTCTCTGACTTTCAAGTTTGGTTCACAACAAATGGTGTGCAACATATTATTCCATTGTACTATGACTTTTATCTCGAATTGTCTTTCATATATAACTACGGAAAAGTGCTGAAAAAGTATTGGATGTGAAGATATTAGAAAATAACATTTTTTCTAACATCGTAGAAAACTCATGAAAACAATTTATTTTTGACACTTTCACAAAAAACATAAAAAAAGTGAGTTAAAATGAGATGTTTACTGAACTGGTTGGATGTCGTCTTCTGAGGTTATGTAGAACGGCTGACCAGAGAAGTGAAGGAGACCCTTGAGAATTTGTATAATTCGTGGAATTGGACTCTCTCTGTTTGGAAGTTGTATCCATGGGCGCTTTGCAAAGAACTTAACAAGAGCTTCCTTCTTTGCTTGCTTTATGCCATCGTAGGCTGTCCCGTCTGGTATTTGAATTGGAATTCCAGTCGAAGTCTCGAGCTGAAGTGTAGACCTTCCCGTTATCCAACCGTTAACAAGCTTGCCTTTTACATTCTGCCTGAGGAAGTCTTTAACAAGCTCGTTAATTTCAATTAGGTAAATTGCCTCGTCGGTAGGTTCGACCTCGACCATTGCTACTGTCAGAAAAAGTACTGCTACTGTCAGTAAAAGTACTGCTACTGTCAGAAAAAGTACTGCTACTGTCAGTAAAAGTACTGCTACTGTCAGTAAAAGTACTGCTACTGTCAGTAAAAGTACTGCTACTGTCAGTAAAAGTACTGCTAGTAGCAGTAAAACTGCTGCTACTGTCAGTAAAAGTACTGCTAGGAGCAGAAAAAAGGAAAATTTGAGAGGGTTTTCGACGATAAAGTACTGCTACTGTCAGTAAAAGTACTGCTACTGTCAGAAAAAGTACTGCTACTGTCAGTAAAAGTACTGCTACTGTCAGAAAAAGTACTGCTACTGTCAGTAAAAGTACTGCTAGTAGCAGAGATTTTTATCGTTGTGGTCCGACAGGACACAAACGAATGTCCGACGTCCCACCAACCGAGTCCATTCCCAAACCAGAGGAACCTAAAGAACCACAACAGTCTCCTCAGCAACCTCAGTTCCAACAAGGACCTCCGAATTACTACCAATTTCCACCTCAAGGTTACTACCCACCACAAGGCTTCCCGAACTACCCTCCTCAACCTATGCCTTACTTCCCCAACCCTTGGTTGTTCCAGCAAGCTCCACCCCAGCAATTCCAATCTCAGTCCAAGAGAGACCAAGACTTCGAAGAAGGTCTGAACCGCTTACGCAAAGAGTATGCTACAGCTCCAATTGAGAGAAAGTTGTTCCCGGACCAAAAAATATAATTTAGGTGAAGAGGTGAGATTTCACCTCTTTTTTCACCTGTTTTTTCACCCTCTTGAATTTTCATGAATTTCCTTAAGATAGAAAAAATAAAGTTAGTTTTATTTTTATTTATTTTTTTATTTTGTATGTAAGAACAGAAATGTCAACAATCGGCACAACAACAATTTAAACAACTTCACCAAACTCGTTAGTCATGAATCCTACGTCAATGTTAGTAGAGATGAAAAGCTTCATTCCTTCTTCATATACTTTTGAAACAGAAATCCAGAAGATAAAGCAGGAACTTTTAACAAGTAATTTAGACTGTAGTGCGAAAGATGAAACAAATGAACAGTATCTTTATGAAATGGAGGACCTCATCGACCATTTACCCAAATTGCCTGAAATCCAACAACAAAAACTCACTATTCCTGAATTCGATGAAATTGAAGTGAAACCAACTGACTCAGTAGAAATAAAGAAGTTCATACGAAAGGTAAATTATGAATTCCTTGGTTTTCATTGCAACCATAAAGTTATGGACAAATACTGCGACATGGTATATAAAAACATCTCTGACATATATAAATCTAGGGAGTTTAAGACATACGACAACTTTGTTTCATTAGCTGCAAAATGTGTATGGCAGATAAGAGATAAAGATAGAAGAGGTAAGGTATGGAATGAACAGATAAAACCAACTGCTTCAGATTTAAAGAAAACCATTGACGCCTTGGTTGTTTTAGCAGGTAAGGTTTCAGAATATAACGCAAAAATGAACCCGCAATGTTCAAAATGTAAAGCAGCAATAAGAAAATATAACTACTCAGTCAAAGAGATAGAAAGAATGCGAAACGACTATGCAGACTTAAAGAAAGAAGCAGAAAATAAAATGGACATGTTAGAATTTCTGAACAAAAACTATCCAACTGCTGACGATTTCCTTCTATCTGACGTCAAGAAGAAGTATAAAGAAACTTTCGGCATTGTTAAAACATTCGATGTACTAAAAGAAGAAATAGAAGCTACGAAATTGTTTAGGATTTCAAATATACATCGTACAATTCATGTAAAACGCTTATAAAATAACTGAGGTGAAAAATTAGGTGAAAAAACGGGTGAAATCTCACCTCTTCACCTAAACATTATTTTTATTGAATTCAGCAACAAAATTCTGAGTAAAATGGCATATGGCTTGTGTCAAACCGTTGAGTTTTCACAAAATTTAAAAAATAACGTTTACCATGTAAAACGCTTATAAAATAACTGGGGTGAAAAAAGGTGAAAAAAGAGGTGAAATCTCACCTCTTCACCTAAATTATATTTTTATTGAATTCAGCACAAAAATCATGAATTTCCTTAAGATAGAAAAAATAAAGTTAGTTTTATTTTTATTTATTTTTTTATTTTGTATGTAAAGACAGATATGTCAACAACAGAGAACACAACAACAGTTATAGTCCATGAAGCTATAAATGAAGAATACGAGTACATACAGTTTAACAAACAACTCCGTCTCATTCGTTCGGTCAAAGACGATATGTACCAAATGCAAAGTATTTTGACAGCATGTTTTGCTCCAGATACTAAGAAACCACAAGACTGGTTTAGGAACCAAAGCACACAAGAACTTTTGAGCGAAGCACAGCGAGACATACTTTTTTCTGAAAACAGTGAAGAACAGCGACTACGAGAAAAACCTCAGTCGCCAAAACTCTATGAAAATCGTGAAGAACAGCGACTACGAGAAAAACCTCAGTCGCCAAAACTCTATGAAAACAGTGAAGAACAGCGAGTAGGTAAAAAACCCCAGTCGCCAAAACTCTATGAAAATCGTGAAAAATTGCCAAACGGTTTGAGAGGATATTATGTACATAGACTTCTTGTAAATGCTGTTGCAATGTGGGCTTCAGCTCGTTATGCTTGGTATATTTACAGACTTCTTGACGAAATTCATAGACAGGAACGTGAAGAGATGGAAAAGAAACTTCAAGCAAAAGACAAAAGCATTCAGAAAAGAATACCACGTTCGGTACCAAAAGGAAAGGAAAAGAACTATAAGTATATGATTTATACTGAAGAGATGGAAAATGAAGAAGACAGAGATATGGTTATGTTGCATTTAGTCAGAAGAAACAACAAAAGCTTTTACGACCTTGCTAAGATTTACAAATCTGACAGAAATTGGTTCTATCGCGAAAACTTACCGATTTCAATGACCCCAAATGAAGATGTGAAACAAATAGTTCAAGATACGTTACCTCAAACACACTATGATATGAAAGGTTGTACAATACTTACCTTCAAAGAAGACTTACCGCTACTGAAAGAAAAAATAACAGAGTATTTTGACAACTTCAAACAAGTAGGGTAGATGAACCATTTATTTTTATTGACTTTTTACAATTTGAACTTTGTTCGCATAGATATGAATTCTGAAAGAAGTATGAGGGTCTTGTATGACTTTGTACTTCTCCCATAGTTCATGTCTGTCAAACTTACCTGCCATGGACTCTTTCATAAGTTCCATGAAATCGTCTTCGGACAATCCGGGGAAAAGTATAATGTCAGTAAGTATTCTCTTTACATCCTTACTTAAACTCTTTGCTGTCTGTACACATATTACGACTGAAATGTTAAAGTGCCTAAGTTTCTTAAGAATTCGACACATATCTTGTTCTCTATTCTTTAACAAAGGATGAGAGGCGAAATCATCTAAAATAAGAAGACACCTATGAGGGTAAGTCTTCCAATCATACGATTGCAATTTCTTCGAAATGTATTCTATCTCTTTCTGTTTGTTTCTGAAGTGTTTCTTCTCTAATATTCTCTGCATTTCCTCATTTGGGTCTTTAAACTTAGAATTTATATACTCATTTACAGCATTATACTTCAAAACTCTTCTTTGGTACTTCTTTATCCAATCTAACAACTCAGTATCCTTTATACATACTAACTTAGACTTCTTTATAATATCTTTGAACGAATTGACGGTTTGGTCAAATTGACCAGAAGTACTACAAATAACAACTAACTCATAGAATGGGTTCTTCTCATCTAGTTCTTGTTGTTGTGCAGCCATTTTAAGATAAGTGAAAGTCTTACCCGACCCAGGTGGTGCAATTAGACCTGTTATACCATTCTGAGCAAATAAGAACTTGTCATGTATAGGTTTTATCTGAGCATTTTCTAACTTCACCTTGTTCTTGTTTAAAACATTCTCAAATTTCTTGTCAATGTCAGCAAACTTTTTTTCTAACATATTTTTAGAAAAATTAAAATTTTTATCTTTTAGAAAATGTCTAGCGATTTCGCTATCTATATTCGAGACAAGCTTTTTGACAGCAAAACATCTGTAGACCATAAAATCTTACATAGTGTAAACAAGAAAGGTGAATTTGTTCTAAAGTTCTGTTTCTGGGAATATGACAAGAACCATAAAACATTAAGCAGAGCAGTCTTAAAATTTGTCAATGACAGACTTGTTGACAGAGATGAAGCCTCTTGGAGAGATGAAGTCCAACAAAAGTTCTTGGAATGCAAAGAAGACACATGCGCTGTTCTTGAAGATGAAATAGAAAACAGAATAGATGAGCTATTAAAGGACAAAGAACTTTTACATAAATATGGTTGCGCCAAATTTGACATAACTCCACCAGAAAAGAAGAAGAGAGAAAAGAAAGAAAAGAAAGTAGAAGAAGAGAAGAAAGAACCTGAACCAGTTCCAGAGAAAAAGAAATTTGACATGTAAAAATAAAATTTTATTTTTAGAACATTTCTGGGTCAATGTCAATGTTCTCTTCCTCTTTAGGAGTAAACACTGGCTTAGACTCTAAAATCTTTTTACCCAATTTACCTTGAACTTCAACTATCTTAGACTCATAATATTCATAGTCGTCTGCTTTCTTTGGTTCATAAGGTATAACAAGTTTGTATGCTTTGCCTTCTTTAAGGTTTGAGAACCTTCTGTCAAAACTTTCTTTGACTGTTAACAAACCTTCTATCTCTAAGTCTTCAAATTTCGCACCATTTTTAGTCACAATAGCAAACTTAACTGGTTCGATGTTCCAAACTTTGCTGAATGAAGACTTTTCAAAATGGTAGAAGTAAACATTCAAATATGTGAATAGGTCTAGTTCTTCTTTAAGTCCTGACATGTACTTGTTTACTGAAATATATTTCGTCATCTTTTCTATCGGATAAAAAAATATTTTTTTTAAAATTTACTCAGAAAAATTATTTCTTTCTATATTTGCCATTCCGAACTTCGAAAAGATGTTTTATACCAGCATAGAATTTTTCTCTAGAGCTTGGTCTTATATCGTTTTCATGACAATATTTTCTATATTCTTCATATAAAGCCTTTTTTTCATACATTTCATAAGGACAATCTAACCAGAATAGCGCATATCCATTTTCGTTATCTAGGTCTCTATATGTTTCTTCTGTTTGTGGAATTTCGCTTTCTCTATTTAGTTCTATGTCTATATATTGTGGCTTAAAAAGATGTGGGCAAGAAGGGTCTGGCGCTATGTAAAAAGTTAATTTTTCTGTCATCTTTTCTATCGGATAAAAAAAATTTTTTTTAAAATTTACTCAGAAAAATTTTTCTTTGTATATACACCATTCTGTACGTCTAAAAGACTTTTGACATTTGCCAAGAATGTACGTTTAGAAGCTGCCATATAACCATATTCTTGACAATATTGTTTATACGAATCGTACAATGACCTTTCATCTAATGACACAAAGTCAGTTTCATCTACGAACAGTTCATATACACTCTTGTTTGCTTCTAACAATGTTTGTCTCTCTTCGGTATGTGGAATTTGTCTTGGATTGAACTTAGAAATATCTAATGTCATGAATATGAGAACAAGTGGTTGTAAAAGTCAGATGTCAAAGTTTCTGCTAAGTCGTCAAAATATTCTGTATCTTGCATATGAGAATCTGACGTTCTGACAACTACATATCTTCTGTCAGAACTTTCTAACTTCATCGGAACAGTATTGTTTGAAACCATAATGAAGTTTGCAACATTCTCACAAACTCTTGAGTCTTTATACTTTCTTTCAACAACGCCAACTTTGTCTGTTATAAGACTCTTCAAAGCATCTGAGTTCAAAACTTTTGTTGTATCTATACTTTGAAGTTCATTGCAAACTATAAGTTTCATATTCTCTATTGAGGAGTTAAACTTGCCACAGATGTTTTCTAAGTTTGTCATATTAGGGTTCGAATAACCTTCTAACAGTTTGCATAAGATATCTGTAAAGAATGTGTTCTTACCTGTTCCTTGTTTTCCAATTATAATGAGAGCAGTTTCATTTTTAGCACTTGGATGTTGTAAGATATTTGCAAACCAACATAAGATATACTCATAAACCTTTTCGTTTCCATTGCATATAATTTCTTTGACATGGTCTAACCAAGCTTCTATAATATTTTCTTTCCATTCTACTTGTTCATATTTATATCCAGTGAAGATAGAATAGAAGTTTGGAGAAGGTGTATAGAACTTTATACCTCGAACTGAAAAATCTTCTAACTTTGACAATAAGATATCCCAAGCATCTAACATCATCATGCCAACTTGTACGACTTTTATTTTCTTAAGTTTCTGTCTACATTCTTGTTCTGAAACTATTGTTGCTCTTGGTTTGTTAAAGACAACATCCCATTCTTTCATGACATAACATTCTGGGGCAGGGTCAACATAAATGACTAAACGTTTCAAATTCTCGACTGCTTTGTTATAGTCTCTAAATGGACACATATTTCTGAATGCTTGGAAGTCATAAAAATCTGAAACATCTATTCTGTACATTTTTATAAAATAAAAAAATATTATTTTTTATTCTTGACTTTGTTGTTCCATTTGTTGCATTTGTTGTTCTTGAGCTATTTGTTGTTGAAGTTGTTCTTGTAATACAATACTTTCACCAGTTGCATCTTCCAATTCGAAACTTTCTGCCGTCATTGACAAATACATAGGACATAAAAGTTTTACAGGAACAAAGTTTGCGTCAACTAATGTCAACGTTATACTTGCTAAAGTGTTTGAGTTCACTAAGGTTGAAAATTCTGCATTCGAATGAACAATAGGCAAACCAGCAGAGAAAGTATTGTTTATACGCATAAGTATCTTTTGGTCATAATAGTTTCTGTCGACATTTGAATAACACTTTGAACCTAAGTTTGAAACAATATATAAGATTGGTGTGCTTAATGTCAATGGAATAGACATTCCTTGTATGACACCTTTTCCTGTTATAGGAAACTGTTGGTAGTAAAAACCAGAAATAAGTTTTGTATTATAGCTCATATCGTTTATAGTAAACTCAGTCGGACATCCAAACATAATGAAACCTGCTCTAGTTGCAGCACATGTTACACCGTACTTAAAGTATTAAATAAGTCAACAAAACCTGTTGGTGGTATATCTGAGTAAGTATCTTCAAAGGAGTATTTTTTACCATTCACAACAATAAAGTCTTCTGGTGTCAAAAGAGCAAAACAGGCTTTAGTCGTCATTGTGTTTAAGGTTAGTTTACAATATCGTCCTTGAGGACTTTGTAAGTTTGTTGTTATAGAATTATATGACTCAGGGTTTTTAGTCGTAATAGTATAAACCATTATGTCTTCTGCCATTTACTTAGCAAATAAATTTTAATGAAATGTTGTGGTCGTCAAATATTTTTATAACGTCTGGGAAACTATATTTTAAGTTCAACGTTTCACCTCCTTTCATAACGTATATCTTGTCAATGACATTATATGAAACACCACAGCAACTAATGTCGGGTTCTATTTCTTTGATGTTTATATCGTCTGCCTCTGTCAAAAGTTTCAATAGTTCTTTCAAAACTTCATGAGGTGCAATGACATATGAGTTCAGTTTTACAGGGTTGTGTTCGACCAAGTTTAACATTATACTTAAAGCCTGACAAATCTTCTCCTGAGTTTGAAGTTTGTCTTTCAGTTGTTGGTAGTCGTTTCGAATATCTGCAACAGAACTTAAGTCTCTGTTAACTTCAGGATATGTTGGTTCTTTTACAGGAACAATTGTTATACCATCTTCGTCTTCGTATGGTTTCCCCACTTCAACATCTCTGTCTTTGACATTGACAACAACACTTTGACTGTTTGTTTGAGTTGGTGAATTTAACTTCACATCTGCCACCGCCATTAAACCTTTTGAAACACTTACGCTTCTATTTTTCGGAAATGACATTTTACTTAGAATAAAAAGATGGACGTATTCGGATATCTTATTGAATTGAAGCAGAACAAAGTTTATACTCACAAACAATACAAATACATTGACAGAATAGTTCTTTACACAAACAATGGAAAATGTTATAGAATAGCAGTCTTTGCTGAACCAAAATATTTTCATAAAGCAAAGAAAGTTGGTATAACTGAAATGGTGAAAGTTCTTGAAGCAGACAAAAATATAACTTCAAAACTGACCGATATTACTAAAGGAAAGTTTATCTTACAATATTATGTCAAAACTGGCGTACTGTCAATATTTGACGGAGAGAAGTCAGTTCAAGAACAACTTACTGACCTGCTGCCAAAATCTGCTCGATGGAAGCTGTCGTTATGCCAATCTGAGGAGCCCCAGCAGGTTTCATCGAACGAATCTTCAAAAGAGCATCTTCCGTGAAAAGTGCTATTGGTTTTGTAAACTTCTTTGCTCTCAATTCATCTGGACCGTCTCTGTCACCAGTATATTGTATTTGAACTGTACCAACAGTTGAAATACCACCCATAAAGTCTTCTGAGTCAGCAAATGGAATGCCAAGCCAAAAGTTTGAACGGTCTCCATTTGTATATTGAGTTTTTTGACCTCCTGTATGAGTCCATACTTTCACATATGGCATAATAGAACTTTGCATTTCAGGGTTAATGGTTGTTGTGAAGTTGTTGTTAAAGTTCATAGCATCTAATGTCAAGTTGTATGACCTCATATCCTCAACTGTAGAATATTCTTCTCTTGGATAATATTTGCCATCTATGTTTATATGATATTTAATACCAGGGTTGTAGAAACAAGAATAGTCATTTATAGTTCGTCTGAACAGTACAAACATAGTATCTGCATGTTTCATTGCAGTTGTTAAAGCAATATCTGTTCTTGCACCTTCGGCTCCTGGATTTTGGTTTCCAACTTCACCTGCAAAGTCTTTGACAGATATTTGGTGTATAGGGAACATAAGTGGAACTGCAATATATTTGGCAGCTAAAGCATTTGAAATATCTGGGTCCAACATATAGACTGCAAGTCTGCTTTCTATTCTCTTGCATTCAAATTTTTCGCATGTGAACTTAACTGGGTCCCAAGCATCTCCAGCAGCATTGAAATAATAGTTTACTTCAGTGTTGAGGTTTGAGAAACCAAAGTCTAAGTCAACTTTGTCTTTGCAAAAGTCACAGAACTTGGCTCCACCAGTTCCAGCTACAGTAATGCTGAATGGGTCTTGTGTTGGTGCAATGACTAAGTTATTTTTGCTTGGAGTAAGTTCGATAGAAATTTTTCCTGCCCAGTTTGGCAAGTATCTTAAAAACCTGAAGATGAGGAAAGATGACAAAGGAACTCTAAGTTTCAGTTTTACTTTGGTTACTGCTGCAGCAGTTTGTCCAGAAAGGTTAACATAAACTCCTGGAACGTTAGGGTCAAGTCTTCTTATTTTCTCAATATTTGCATACTGGTCTGTTTGTTCTCTAGCTTGTGGTTGTACTGAGTTTCTCAAAGCGAACCATTCATAGTTTGCCCATGTTACTGTTTGAACTAAGTCAGAGTTAGAATATATCTTATATCCCATGAAAACTTCTGGAGCATATTGGTATCCGACATAGAAAATTCCATTGCAACCTTTCTTGTCAGACAACTTGGCAGAAGGTTTTATTTCAATGTCTTATTCCACGTATAAGAATGAGTTGTCAATAGAAATAATATGAAACCTGTCGCAAGCAATATCTACTGTTGTTGAAGAACCTTCTCCAAACTCACCTACGTTTCCATAAGAAATAGCAGTTGTATATTCGTAAGTTCCAGGAACTATTTCTGACCTTCTAATGGCATTGTCGCATTCGTTATACCATTCGGAAACATTTCCGTTCATGGCATCCAAAACTGTTGGCGTTATATTCTGAGCGGCGTACATTTCATATGGGTAAAAATATAGAATAGTTGGATTTATATATAATAGAACCCACTCGGACCAAGCTTTACTTTCTTCCTGACTGAGTTTTTAACTCTTCTTTTTCCTTCATTGCCACTACTTTCACTAGATGAAGTTACTTCTTCACTACTTTCACTTTGTTCTACTCTTCTCTTCTTCTTTGGTGTCGCTTTTGGTAATTTGCCCTCTGCTTCAAGTTGTTGCATCTTTGCCTCATGTTCACCTAGTATGTTGTAAATTTCCCATGTCCTTTTTGCCTTTGGGCTCTGGTCGCCCATCTCAGGTAACCTATATCCTAGAAAGATTTTGTCATAGTTTGTATTTGAGTCTTCGCTTATTGTTTGCATGACTCTTTCCTGAGTTTCCGGTTCAAGCTCTTCAAACAGAGCTTGTCCATATGGAATAAGCTCGTTTCCAAATATATGTTTTTGTAGCCATTCTGGTTTTCTTTCCATGTAACCAATAATATCTTTTGTGAATGGGAAAGCTTTTACCCAACGTTTCAGGCTTGCGTCATTTATTTCTGTAGTTGGTTTTATTTTGTCAAGGAACATGTTTTTCAATACTAACATTTCATTTGGTACTGTCCATTTGAGTTTTCTTAAATATTCATCCCTTCTCAGTTCATTGTCTGCAAAGTAAGTTTTTATGACATTTTGCAAACTTTCGTTTGCAAGGTCATGTACAATAGGTTCTCTTCCTTCTCTCTCCCTAACTCTCTTTCTAAACTCTTCACCAAATATACCATCTCTATGGTTCTGTGTAGTTCTTTGAGATAAATGTTCTAGAACGTCAGGTGTTATATTTCCTTCAGCCATGTTCATTTCATACTGGTCCAAAATATCTGCATCTTTCATATCTTTCAATGGCATTAAAGCCGCGCTGAAAATACCAGCTATATCTGGTTCACCATTCACTTCCATTGCGTCTACAACTTCTTGGAATTGAGGTTGTAAGTTTATGAACCACCTATCCGGATTAGCTTTATGACCCCATCTCATTGTAGTTCCATAGTCTGCAGAAACAAAAGTAGGTTTGTTTCCATATTGGTTAGGTTCTGAATGAACTTTAAACAATGTTTCATTTCTATATGTTTTGTTGAAATTTAACCTTTTATTTTCACCGAGTTCAGCCAAAGATTGAACGTTATATGCTCGTAAGTAAAAAGGATTATTGTATTTGCGTACATTATCTTTCAGTACTTCCATTCTATGCTGAATATTTTCATCTGATGTTGGAGTCTTTTGTATGTCGGCGAACATTTTTCGATATTCTTCTACTATGTCAGCCAAATTTTTCTTAGACTCTTGGAAAGATTCCATATTCTCCGCATACACTTGTTGAGGGTCAAGATTTTTCGGCTGTTCCAAATCTTCATCTAGTTCTGTGAAGTTAGTTTCCAAAGGAGGGACTTGTTCGTTTCCTTCAGGCTCTTCTAGCTGTTGTTGCTGAACTATTTCTTCCATGTCTGGTTGTATCTGAACTTCTTCCTGTGGAGTTTCTTGTACCTCATCTGGTGGCATTTCATATATTCCGAGACCATTTTTAACAAGTTCCCTATCTAAGTCATCCGGACTCATAAACCTTTCTTCTTTCGTTCCGTCTCTATTTTTTACGCGTTTCATGAAGAGAGTTGAATTATCATTTAGCTCTGACATCAAATATCTCGGAGTAAATTCATTCATGTCATTTGGATGATATGCTATTAAATCATATCCCTTAGCGAGCTTGTATTTTCCAGGTTTGAAATTATATCCCATTTGGTGCTGAACCATAAAGCTAAATAGGTTCGGGTCAGTATTTCCTTCCTTGAACTTTCTAATAGCTTCTTTATATCTGTCACTAAAGTCAAGAGTATCTGGGTAACCATAATCTTCCTTAAGCATTTTTAAGAATTCTTGGTTTCCTTTTTCTCTACTTCTTTTATGTCCTTGCTCTGTTTGTGGTTGTTGTTGTGCAGGGTTTTGAACTGTTGGTTGCTGTGCTGGTTGTGGAGGTGGTTGTTGTGCTGGATTTTGAACTGTTGGTTGCTGTGCAGGGTTTTGAACTGTTGGTTGCTGTGCTGGATTTTGAACTGTTGGTTTTGGTTGTTGTTGCTGTGCAGGGTTTTGAACTGTTGGTTGCTGTGCTGGATTTTGAACTGTTGGTTGCTGTGCTGGATTTTGAACTGTTGGTTTTGGTTGTTATTGTGGTGCTGGATTTTGAACTGTTGGTTGTTGTGTTGGTTTTGGTGCATGCCTGTGTCTGTGTCCATGTGACGATGTAAATGTTTTAGGTAGTCCTGGTGCAGGTGCTTCTCTTGGAGGGTTTGGTGGTATATAAGTTCCACCAGCTGGCACATATGTTCCATCTGCAGCATAATGTCCTACCTGACTTTTCGTTTTTAAGAAAACATTTACTAGGTCTGTTTTGGTCTGTTGTAACTCTTTTTCTTGACTTTCCACAACAGCTGCTCTAACGGCGTCATAGGCACTTTGAACTGCCTGTCTCGTTGCTGCATCTGTTATTTTCGTCATATTTTGTGCTACTTCTCTTAACTCTTTGTCGAAACCTTCAGACTTCAGTTTCTTTCCAGATGAGAAGTCGTTCACTAGTTTCACCTTACTATGAAGAGCTTCGAAGGCATTCTTAAAGTCAGCATTCATTAAAGCTTCATTTGAACTGTCTTCATCCGCTTGTATTTTTGTCCTTATTGACCCTATAAGTTGGGCTGCTTTAGCGTTGGCTTGGGCATCTAACCAGTCATTATTAGCTTTTATATATTCTGCGCTTTTCATTGCCTTTTGCATGGCTGCGTCGTTATTTTTACTTTCTTGTGCTAAGTTTTCATACTGTACGGTTTGGTTTTGCAACTGTAAAAGTTTTTCTGCCTTTACATTTGCTTCAACTTCTTTTTTATACTCATCGCTATCCATATATGTCTTCATGGCTTTTTGTTTTATCTCTTCATCTTTCAGTACTTTATATTGAGTAGTATGGTTTTTCAAATTTATAACATCTTGTTCCATTTTTGCTACTTCTGCTGCTTTTTCTGACACTTTTTTCGCATATTCCTCTGTACTTAGTTCTTTCAGTTGTTCTTCTTTCTTCTTTTTCTCTACGTTTAACTCATTGAGTTTCTTTGTGTGTCTGTCATATTCTAGTTTCTTTTCGTTTTCACTTATTTGTTTCTGTATGTCTATGTTTGACTTTTTGACATCTGTTATTTGATTTTTGAGTGAACTCAAATTCATTTGACTTTGAGGGTTATAAGCTGTTCCGTCTGCAGCTCCACCATAGCCTGCCATTTTCGCTAAAAGTGCCGCTCTTAAACCTCCACTCTGTGCACCAATAACTCGGTTTAAAAGCATAGGGTTGCTTGACATTTGTTGCAACATAGTGGGGTCATTCATCATTTGTTGTTGCAACTGTTGTTGTGGTGTCAGTTTTACTATTGGATGTTTCAATGCTCCCTTCCTCTTACGTATATTCTTACGTAGCTTACGTGGCATTTTAAGTGAAGTTAAAAAGCGGTTTTTGACGGATGTTTATATGACACTTTTTGTTCAGCACAAAAAACTACTCGGTCAAAGTGTTGTCAGTTTTGTAAAATAACCGTCCTATCTCATTCTATAAGGGAGAAAAGGCTTCTCAAAGTATACTTCCTTGGAACGCCTGTAACTTTTCCTGTAGCGACGATAGACCCTTACTTGTCCGGACAAAGTTATACTATTTTGAGTGCTCTACAAAAAAGTCACCGGCTGGTCGGCTGGGGTTCGGTCCTCCTCTTGGGTCTTGGGCAAAATTTCTTATGGGCTAGAGGGCGCAACGCGCCTGGAAGCCCTCCGAATAAAAACTTCATTTATACTAAACATCTTCGGGGCTAGAGGGCGCAACGCGCCTGGAAGCCCTTCGAATAAAAACTTCATTTATACTAAACATCTTCAGGGCCAGAGGGCACGAAGTGCCTGGAAGCCCCACTACCTTTTTTTTAGATTCGTTATAAAAGAATGCGAATTATTTTGTATGAGTAAACGTATTTTGTAAAATTTCAAATTCTCTTCTCTCATTACTTACCTTAGATCTCTCGGCTTTTAGCTCTCAGATTTCGCTCATAGAACTCAGGTTTTAGTTATGTACTCATAGATGTATCATTACTGCCCGCAGATCTCTCATTACTACCTTACTAACCAGATCTTAACTCTCATTACTACCTTACTAACCAGATCTTAACTCTCATTACTACCTTACTCATCAGATCTTAACTCTCATTACTACCTTACTCATCAGATCTTAACTCTCATTACTACCTTACTCATCAGATCTTAACTCTCATTACTACCTTACTAACCAGATCTTAACTCTCATTACTACCTTACTAACCAGATCTTAACTCTCATTACTACCTTACTAACCAGATCTTAACTCTCATTACTACCTTACTCATCAGATCTTAACTCTCATTACTACCTTACTCATCAGATCTTAACTCTCATTACTACCTTACTAACCAGATCTTAACTCTCCGACCTTACTCATCAGATATCTAATTATTTACATATGATTTCTCACATCTCACTCAAGTCTCATTACTTACCCTATCTTTTTAACCTTTTCTGATAATTACTGAAATAACTAAATCCTTTTTTTAGTTTAATTCTGATATTAAATTTTTAAAATCTCTTTAATTTTTTGAACTACGCCTTTAATTTGTAATTGCCGATTTCACAGATTTGAACCATTTAATAAAATAACATTATTCAACTTAATCATATCAAACATGGTAGTTTGATTTTCAGATCTACATTTAAAAACCTCTTTATTATCTTGAGTTATACTTTTATTATATAATACCTGAGTTCATAACTGAAAACTCTTAATTAGAGTACAATATTCAACTTAATCATAACAAGATTTGTTGAATTTCAAATTTGATTTATATCTTCCATCACTTAAAACTCTCACAGCTTACAATATAAGCTAAAAAGTATATTTTCATAGTAATAAAATTAATTATTAAATTTTTTACTTTTTCCTTTCCAAAACTAGAAAAAAAGGAAGGGAAAAGGGGAAAAGAAGAAAGAAAAGAGAAAAAGAAAAAATAATAATGAGCATATTATATAATTGTGGTCATAGGCCGAGTGGCGTGGAAAGGGTGGAGCCCGAAGGGCGACATCCTTTCCACGCCACGAGGCCCGATTTTTGGCCACTTTTTTGATTTTGGCCGCGTGCCAGCTCCTGGCAGGCGGCCCGCAAAATTGTGCCAGTTTGTACAACCCTAAATTTCAATTTATATTTTCCTCAAGAAATACTTTAGATTTTAAGAAACTAAATCATATAATCTACTAAGAAAATATATTAAATCCTATAATACTCAAAGTTTTGTGATAAATCCGATCTTTTTTATTTTACTTTTATTATGTTTTTGCAAACTTAAGGTCCTCACTAGGTAAAACATAATACTCTTAGAAGTTAAGTATTTTCACAAAGAGAGGACCAACAATATCAAAAGATTGAATAAAGATTTGTATTATTTTATTTATTTTTAAGAATATGTTTAAGAACCCTCATTATCTCCACGAATATTGCATATTTTTCTATTCTAAGACCACCAAAATTATATTTTAATATAGAAAATAACATATTTATGTGATGCTAAAGTCGAAGTCCTTAAAAAATTAGTGTTAAACATCCATTTATTACAAAATTGAAGAAATATGTGTAAAATATAACACATAATTTAGTTATTTGACTCAATTATTAGTTATGCAATATCAGTTGTGTTTATATCTGCGTTATATCACGAGATGCATTGAATTGTCATAATTAGATCACCGTAAATCTTATCAATTTTTGATACACTTCCGGTGAAAAATTTAGCCTTGACAATAGGATGAAATATATTGTAAAAAAATAAATTTTAGATTTTGAAGTTTATCATTTCGAATAATGAAATATAAACAATACAAATTTTCTGTCGTTTCGAGATTCATAAATGATCGGAATCTTCCAGCTCCGACTGAAATAGAACTTTCGAAAGCTAATTTTCAAGACGAATCTTCTTTATTAAGATTTATTTTGGATATCCCTAAGGATTTAAGCTTTTCCATTGACTCATATTCAATGAATCTTTTGATACATTTCATTATCGAGCAATCTACACAAAATGAAACAATATTAAAATTCACAATTCAAAATATCACTTCTTCGAATATCTTTCAAATAGATTTGATACTACTGGAAAATTTATTCGAATATTTATCGCATTATATTAACCAGATTTTTTTCATTTTTTCATTAAAATTAATTCATTTTAAAGCTTTAGATAACATACAATACCTTTATTTATCAACATTTTCCGATCAATATGATGAGATATTACGTTTCATAAGCAGCAGTGACAATTCTCTCTATATCATCGATACATTTATTGCTTTGATTAAAAACAATATTCTTGACGTTGAATTCTTCCAAAACGCAGTTTTACTCAAGAAAGAAATTTTTTCTAGTATTATTGAGTACGAAAATCAATATTCAACTTATGCAATTGCAAATTTCTTTACAAAATTATTAAAATATTACCCAGGATATGCAACTGCTCTTCCATGTTCGGATATACTAATATCAAATTATTTCAACTTTTTTAATGACGTGAATTCAATTATAAATAACGAAGATTTTGTTTATCTTCTCAAATTTATAGTTTTATTTTATAAAGCAGTCGATATAACATCTGAGATGGCTTTAGAATTCATAAAAACACTTGAAATTCTGCGAAGTCTTTCTCCTCACTATTCATTTACAGAGTATGTAGTTCAGGGGTATTATTGTGTACTTCCTCTTATACCCATGCAAATTTCATCTACCGATTTTTTAAATTCACATGAATTTTTAATTAATTATGCAATTGAGAATTCAAATCTTCACAAATATTTGAAATTATATTCCAGATGTTTCCGCAGATTTGATAGCGATGAAATATTCAAAAATGTTTTTCATATCTTAAACCTTGTAGAAGTTACAACAGAATATTTATCAGAAAATCAGGATCTTTCTGAGAAACAGATCTTTATTTGCAACGATATCCTAACGAGGGTTAATTTAATTTAATTTTTATTTTTTATTTCAAGTTTGAGTAAACTTTCAAGATAATCTATATAAGCCTTTTGATGTTCTTCATCTAGATTCTTGTTTAATATGTGATGAATTTGATTTTTTTTTGAAAATTCAAGATAAAATTCTTTTTTATCTTGATCAACAACATGAACAATTCGAGTACAGCGTAACATTTCATCAATATTTTCTGTTTTCTTCGTTTCTAGATATTTTTCAAATATTTCTTGCGGAATCTCATTTTGATATACCCATTTATTTTTTTCCGGATGCTGATCTTTGTACTTAACGAAATATTGCTTGACTATTCGCTCAGAAACAACATATTCGATCTCTTTTCTCTTTCTCATTGAATATTTGTGACACTTTTGAATTCAATCAAATCAAAAATATTTGAAATTGCTAGAATTTTTTTCTTTCTCATGAATATTTGAAATGACTCAAAAGGAAAACTCGTTCGATTCAATTCAATTTTGAATCAGAATTTTTTAAGGACCAATAAATCAAATTATGTTAAGAAAATCTTTTTTTAACTCAGAGTATCAAAAGTACGTTAAACCTTCAATTTTATCTCATGTCGGAAAGCGAACCGACAATAGTGGAAGAGAATCAAACTATATCAGTATCCATCCAAGCTATTGTTGATGAAGAAAAAGGAGATGGAGCTGATATGCTGGATTTAATTCAAAATGAATTGAATTCCGTAAAAAATTGAAATATAGAATGGAAATACCTGAAAATCCCCAATTCCAATTCTCAAGGAAAGATATAGCAAATTAAAATTTACAGATCCTACAGAAGCTGCTATATTTATTGCAAAAGATTCATATAATTCTTTTTATCCATTAAATTTTGAGCAAGGAAAAAAGTTTCGTTGTCCTAACTGCCAATTTTGCATGGAGCTTGTAAAGACTCATGAAAATGGTCAACTTTTCTTCATTCCAGTAATTAAACACGAGCATAGAGCAAAGCAATGCAAGCCGAGTAACAATATACCAAAAATTCTTAAGTTGCAAGCAGGAAAAAAAGTCTATGAATTAGCAAATTCTGATAATGTTCCTCAATGCAAAGAAATTTT